TCATGAGATTTCACTGGGATGCATACCTAAGTACAAATTATTTTTGCATGATATGAACTGTTGATGATGTGTACGTATGCATGATATTTCAATTACACACATGTTATGGTATATTTTACATGTATGTTATTTTGTGAATGGTTGCATGCTATGTGTTTAATCAGTTTTCGAATAACTCTAGCATGCTATTCCATAATAAAGTTTTATGATTCAAGGGTGGGCATTTGACCAGTAAGTCACGACCAGTATAAAACACTACCCGGACAAGTGGGTGATCAATTAAGATTGAAATATCAACCCAGGGCGTGTTTGTGACTAAATGACCCATACCCGACTAAACATCATATGAGATCTCTTATTTTTAGTGTTTTAAATTATTATTTTAAAGTTGTGACATTTATTATAAAGCATGCAAATATACCAAATATATGTATGTCAAGATATGATTTTATTCACGCAAACCATGAACTCACTGAGCTTTCTAAGCTAACTATAGCATCTCAGGGCCAGGTAGTTCGAGGTTGGATAAGGGCAAAGGACACGCTTAGAGAGTTGCTAATTATCATCTTATTTTTAGTCTTTTGTCTAGCGGTGTCGTGTCGATCTTTTGTAACTTAACCTGGTATGAGGTGAGTTAGAACTTAAGTTAATTTTTGGGCAATTCAAAGACTTCCGCTGTAAACGTTTCAAACGGTTTTATTTTAGCCGTCTTTTGAAGTATTTATTTAGGAATATGTTTCAGATTACGTAACATCAAAAAAAAAAAAAATGAGGGTGTTACATTCTTCTAAAAGTTCATTTATTGAGTTGGGGTTTTAATCCAATTGGTCTCACTCAAAAACATTGAGTTTTGACTCCCTAAATACTCAAAACAAGATGCATGTGTATCTGGGAGTTTTTCAGTAGGTAAACCCTACTTTAAACAACCATAATTCTCTAAATAATCATCCAAATCATTGATTTTTCTTCTGGAAGTTAATTTAATGAGTTACCTTTCAAATGCCACCGATTTCACTCAATATTGTGGTGATTTGAGGTTTTAAATACTCAAAACAAGATGCATGTGTATCTGGGAGTTTTTCAGTAGGTAAACCCTACTTTAAACAACCATAATTCTCTAAATAATCATCCAAATCATTGATTTTTCTTCTGGAAGTTAATTTAATGAGTTACCTTTCAAATGCCACTGATTTCATTCAAAAATATGGTGATTTGATGTTTCAACTACTTAAAACAAAATGAGTATGCAATCTGTCCAAAACTGACAGATTTGTATATGCATGTTCTAATGACCATATCTCTTTCAAAACTCAATGAAAAAGGATTATTCTTCCTTTGAGAGTTAACTATATGAGTTATCTTCTGCATGCAAGTGGAGTCACATGAAAATATGGAGTTTTGACCTCCAAACACCTAAAACACTTTAGGTGTGCAAACTGTGAAACCATCAGTATGTAGATCCTACTTTGTGTGTTAATATCTCTTTTATTACTTGCTCTTAGTACATGATTCTTCTTCGGAAATATTCTTTTATGAGTTAGGGTTCATATGAACCCAGTTTCACTAACAAAATATGAAGTTTTGAGGCATTAACCAATTTATTAAATTTAAGTATGCAATCTGTCAACTATTAACAGATATGTGCATGTAACTTTATGGTACCATATCTTCCTATTAACTCATCTAAAATGAGTGATTCTTATCTTTAAAGTTTCATTTAAGTGTTGAGTTTATAATCCAACTGGAATTTCTACAAAACACTTAGTAGAAATCTTCAAATGAGTATTTTACTAACATGGTGTAATCTGCCATACCAATTGTGACATATTGTATTGCATAAATTATTTGAACCATTTTTATATGTCCAAAATGCATGAACTTTGGTCACAATGACCATAACTCAGTACTATATCCCATATAAAAAGATAGGAAACTATGTCATTTTAGAAGTCTCTATAAATTGATCATTTTTAGTACTATTAGTTTCTGTCCAAAAGTGAAATTTTGAAATTATTTGATTTTATAAATTTGGATCATTTATTGGATTATAACATTACTTCCGGTATAAATTACTATATTAACGAGCATATGTGCATTATGTATAATTGGACTATAGATAATCAAGTTGGACATATGTAGACAATTATAGACTTAGGACTTATTAATCCCCATAAGTAGTTTTAAACCCATAAGTGACGGTTTTGGATATTTCTCTTTGATAGGGAAACGTTAAGACAACGTGTGGGGATCGGATCGTGTTTTTGTTTAGAGGAGCTTTGCAAAAGTGTGAGTATTCACATCCCCTCTTTCAAAGTATTTATTACGTTTTGGGGTGAAAAGCATGATTGAATGTGTTATATGAGCTATTTTCATTATGAATATGAAATTTTGTTAATTTGATGTTGTGGGCACTAAGGCATGTACACTAATAGTTATATTGAGTAAAATGTAACAGAAAAGTTTTGTACACTACTATTAACTAAAGTGAGGAGCCGAGGGTATTTGTGGATAACGCTATTTGGACGGACAATCCCACCTAAAAACAATAAGTAGGGGTGTGGATAGCAATCCCACCTAGAAACTACAGGTAAGGGTGCACTATACTTAAAGATAAAGGTTCTACATATGTGGGATATTAGTCCCACCGCTAAGGTAGAATTAAAAACAGTTTTATGGGGTCGAAAGGTTTAGTGGTGCCTCTTTATATACTTAAAATTACAGTACAAATTGCCTTGAACAATCCAAGATTTTCTTTCAAAGTAAATTAAGTGCCATTAAAAATTTAAATTTACTCATATTCGCTTATGTAAAAAGGAGGTTTGTATTATTAAAAACCTGTGAACTCACCAGCTCTTTGTAGTTGACCTTGTTTTATTATGCTTTTCAGGGGTAAGAAAGGTTAACTGATAACGTTTATGTTCGGGGAGCACCGACATCAACCATATTTATATTTGAAATCTTTTTGTTGAAAACTTTGCTTACACCATGTTGTTAAAAACTTTGAACTTGTATGATGTAATTTCAAACTTTATATGTTATGTATTTAAATGGACAATTGGTGTTGTTTTCACCCAATCGCTGTGACATCTTGAACTATCACTCCTCGTGTTTCCGCTGTAGCGGGGTGTGACAATATATGTCATCGTTCAGCCAATAACAGATGTATGCAAGATGTTCCATTGGGCAGAGATGCAACTAAGACATTATTTGGAATCTTACTTCGCCATCATAGTCAAGGAAAATAAATCCTAATCAGGCTTCATATGCACAGTGTTGGGTATATAGGGACCCTTAGCTGGAAATGATAGGTTTAGCATAGGTATGTCTGGCTTCTTTGAAGCCTTCAGGACTTCATCCAAGGAGAACTTTGTTTCATGTTCATTCCTCAGGGATGGTCCATCATTAGGGCTTGAAGGTATTTTTCTTCTTCCTCCTTTCTTTAGCCTAGGCATTTTAGGGACTATGACATATCTGGACACATTCTTGATCAATTCGTTGATGATGTCTTCGATAATTGTCTTATGTCTGGACTTTGAGCGCTGAATGGCTTTTCAGATCTCTAGACATTGGCTATATTCATATTTGCTAAGGTAGGAAGGATACTCGATCACGACCTCGAGATTATCCCTAGTGATGAGCATGGAGAGTAGTATCCCACCGTCTTTTGATCGTCTGCTGATACTGACGCTCTTGATCGGGTGAGCGTTGATCCACTTGTTGATACTAACTTTGCTCCAGCGCTTGTCCCTTTCGGCCAACTTCAGGCTCTTCTCACGTTCTGCTTCTGCAATAAATAGAAGCTTAGCCTGGGCCTGGACAAAGTTCACCGTCTTTTTGGATTTTCTCTTAGGAAGAACTTTTGCAACTAGAGACTTGGCCAACTTTAAGCTGTCCTCAGTCTACTTCTTTTGAATAGCAAGTTCTTCCTTAGCTCTTAGGGCCTCGAGTCTTTCAGCTTTTGTCCGGAAGTCAAACTCACCACAACTATAGGTATGAAGAGGAATTTTTACTCTAGTTTGGTCAAGTGACTCCCTGAGCTGAGTCATCTACTGGTCGTAGAAGTGTTGGGAGTTGGGTTCTCAGGGACCCATTCGTCTAGCTGAGCGCAAGTAGTGGAAGGAATATCGAGTTGGTACAATGAAGTGACGATTACTTGAGATGAGGAATCTTCATACAAGGGTTGTGGAGATTTGAATAATACATTTAGATTTCCTTCTTCAGCGATGCCTTTGCCTTTCGACTTAGGACCCTGGTTCGGTTTTGGTGCAGCCTATTCTTTCCTTTGCTCCCCCTGGGATGCAGAATCCTTGGGGGCAACTCCTTTGGTGGTAGTAGCGGGACACTGGTATTGGATGGTGAAGTCGTATTCGTCGTCATCGTCATCTTCGTCATCCAGGTCACTGCCAGAGTTAGGGAGGTCAGGAGAGTCACCGTCCTCATCATCATCGTCTTCATTTTCATCTTCCACATCTCCAACAACAGGTGTAGAGGTGATGGGAAGGTCATCGTTACGAGCTTCAACTTGAACGACATCAACTTCCTCAGCTATAATAGCTTCACTGGAGGTAGGTATATCACAAACAACCTCAGCTTTCGTTTCAGCTCTAGGAGCTTCAACTTCAGCATCATGGGTTGCTGGATCAGTAGTTTTAGTAGGGGCGGCAACAACAGATGGTCCAGCAGCGTTAGATCTCATCTTCCCCTCTCTGGAGATAGCTTGAGAGCATAAGCCAAAGAGTTGGTCTACGCTGTAGAGTTGAAGTACCATCATCACTTTAGCCTGGTGAGAGCGCTGGCTAGAGTGTTCGTCGCTTCGTGTGCTTCATGAAGCTGATTGCAGTCATCAGCGGTGAAGGATGGTGGAGTCACTAGTGCTGGATGGCGAAGAGCAACCATAATTTGTTGTAACAGCTCCGCCTGCTGAAGAGAGTGAGCCTATGCGTCATCAGCCTTGCTTGTGAGAGCAGCGATGGCTTCAACATTGGCTCGTATAGCCTCTTGAAGAGAGGAGAGCTGGCTTTTGACATCTTGGACTTCAGCCCTGACGGCTGAGAGGTCTGTAGCAACTTCGTATTTTCGAGACATGTCCTTTTGGACCTCGTCCATCTTGATGAGGACAGTCTCGATTGCTAGGAGTAGCAGCTTCACATCCGTCGCCATGTCGTACTCCTCTTCGTTCATGGCCTGGGGCTCAGACGGACCTGAAAAGGAATGTGAGTAAGCGAAAAAAACTCTGGGTTAGAGGAAATGAAAGGATAGGAGTGTGGAGTACCTGAGGGGTCTTCATCGTTATCTGAAGGATTAATGCTAGTTTGCTCTATGGTGCACTCATGAGGATGAGCACCAGTATGCTGTGGAGCCTCGAGAGGAGCTACCTTAGGTCAAGTGGTGGGTGTCTCATCATCAGGGAGGACAGGCACTGATGACTCACCGACACGTGTTGAGACCAATAGAGGGGAAGAAAAGATGGTTGAGACTGAGGGTGAGTGTTCAGCGGTGGTGGCGCTTATATTCACACCTTCAATGATTTGAGTCACTAAGGCAGTTGGGAGAGGTACCACTGATCAGACAGTGATATCAGGAATCACTGAAGAGCTTGGTTGACTGACTGAAAGTGCCTCGGGGGTAAGGCTCTTTTCAATAGCTGAGACCTTTTGAGAGGTCACATCCAGAGATGAGGTTGTCCCATTTTTCACCTTCTTGGTCCTCAAAGGAGAACTAAGAGTTGGTTGAGATGGGCATTCAGAAAAAGTGGTGGTGGTGGCTGAGTTAGACTTGGGGAGGATTTCCCTTGTCGTGGCCACCTGAGGAGGAGGAGGAAATTAAGAGAATTGCACCACTAAAGATAGTGCATCATCTCCATCCTTGAGCTTGTGATCTAGAATCCTGGATCCAAGCCTGCAGATAGAAGATTACCTTCCTTGGAGTACTTGTCGGCCAAGATCTTTGAAAAGACCATGGACAAGAACCTTGTCTAAAGCACCAGTTTCTCCCTTTGGCGTTTGTTCAGCTTCAGCGGCAGGTCGTCGAAGATGACCACAACGCAGTTGATCGGCCGGCGTTGGATCACTGAGATGCCAATGGTGAGGGCGACTCGGGAAACCTGATCTTGGCCACCAGTCTTTCCACACATACTTTGGATGAAGTGTGAGAACAGGTATTGCCACACCGCTGACATACGGTTCTTCTCAATCTTTGACAGCGACTTGAGGGGCTCGCTGGAGTCCTTCTTCATTGGCCATTGGTAGCCAATGTCATCGAGGCAGGCGATGATCTCACGAGTGGATAGAGTGGTCATGCCGAAGCTAACAGTCATCCTGTTAAAGGTGAAGGAGATTTTATCCACCTGATGACCGTTCGTATCCTCCTCTTGCACCCCCTCAGCAGTCATCCAGAACTGCTGAAGGGCCTCCTTAACCATGACAGGTTCATGGTTGAGAGCATAGATGATTGGGGACATGCGGAGGAAGGCAACATCATCCTCAAGATGGTTTTGTTGGTGGTAATGTCCAACAAGGCAATGTGGTTATTAGCCTTGAAAGAGATGTCTTCCACAACAAAGTTCACATTCTTGGCAGCCATTTTTTGTTTTTGGTAAGGAAATAAGAAGGAGAAAAACAGTTTATATTAGTACTCCAAGATTTATTGTGATTTTTTTTAATGTTTTAGAACAATAAAACTTCTTTTGAAAAATCCACAAATAAAATATTAGGGTTTTTCAAGTAGATAAGTGTTTTGAAACTAGATTATAACCATGAATAAGAATGTGTTATTAATCTTTCTGTTTATGTTTTAAGAGAAAAAGGTTCTTAAAATCTCAAACATTAGTTTCATTTGAAGGAGGAGAACAGTTCAAAATGTAAATAAATTTATCAACCTTAGAGTTCTTTGAAGAAGGATGAAGGATTTGAGTGTTGTTGAGAGTTCTTGTTTGCAAAGTCTTTTTGACAGAGGTTCGTCAAAGATTTTTGTAATTGTAAATAAAATATGAGGGAAGAGATCCCATGTTTATAGGTAGGAGGAGAGAGAAAAGAAATATGAGAGAGGAAAATACGACGGTTGAGGAAATGCCATGATGAGAAATATGGCACGTTCTCATCCATGATTGGATGGAAGATAAAGTAGGTCGCATGTGTCAGACCTTTTTGTGCATCTCAAAGCGATTCGTATTGATAACATAGAATGTCATCATTAAGACGGTTCATTAACTATTTCTTTTAAAACGAAAAGGTTTAAGAAATTTGAAGAGTCACATTCAGTGATAAGACAATCACTGAGTAAAAAACTTTTAAAACATTTTGATCACTGAAGAAGAGAAGCTTCAGTGATGGTTTTGTTTTAAGATCTGAAAATAACTTAGAAGAATATATTTTCATAAAAGACTTCAGTGTAAGTGATAAGAGAATCACTAAAACTGTCATTTAAAAACATTTGAATCATTAAAGGTAGAAAGGTTCAGTGATCATTTTGGTTTTAAGAAAAGACAAGTATAAAAGAGATGTACTTACTTATAATTGTTCAGAGATAGAGAGAATCACTGCAACAAACTTTTAAAACATTTTCATCACTGAAGAAAAAGGCTTTAGTAATAGTTTTAAGTTTTAAGAAAAAGAACAAGTATACATACCTTAGAGAGAATAGATATATTTACTCAAGAGTTTGGTGATAGAGATAGAGCATTAATCATTTCACTTACTGATTGATGTGTATAGCTGAAGAAGATTATTCTTCAGCGTTGAGCATCTGCAGTTTGCTGCTCAAGATGTTGAATCTTGTCTCATCAAAAAGCTTGGTGAAAAGGTCAGTGAACTGATAATCAGTTGGAACAAAGTGAAGTTCAATATCACCATTCATAACATGATCTCTGATTAACTGATATCTGATCTCTATATGTTTGGTCTTGGAGTGAAGTACAGGATTGTTTGTGATTGCAATAGCACTGGTGCTATCACAATAGATATGAATCTTTGAGAATGGAAGATCGTAGTCATTCCGCTGGTTTTTCATCCAAAGGATTTGGGCACAACAATTTCCAGCGGCTACATATTCTGCTTCAGCGGTTGATATGGACATTGTCCAGCTCACCAACTTTCCACCTAGAAGCTGACAGCCTAAGTGGTGCTTTTCCTATCGATCTTACAACATGCAAAATCACTATCCGAATAACCTATTAGGTCAAAACCTGAACCCTTAGGGTACCAGTGACCCAAGTTAGGAGTTCCCTTTAGGTATATAAAGATGTGCTTTACAGCGATCAGATGGGATTCCTTAGGTTCAAATTGATATCGTGCACATAAGCAAATAGAATATAGGATATCTGGTTGACTAGCTGTGACATACAACAGGGAGCCAATCATTCCTCTATAAACAGTTACATTTACAGGCTTTCCATTTGGATCCTTGTGGAGAGAGAATGGAGGAGCCATTGGAGTCTTCATAGATAAGTTGTTAGAAAAAATAAACTTATTCAGCATGTCACGGACATACTTACTTTGATTGATAATGATATATTTATTTGGTTGTTTGATCTGGAGACCTAAAAAGATGGTTAGTTCTCCCATCATACTCATCTGGTATTCTTTCTTCATGCGATCAGCGAATCGAAAACACAAAGAGGGATTAGTGGAGCCAAAATAATATCATCGACATAAATTTGGACTAAGAGGATATGACCTTTAACTTTCCTAAGAAATAAGGTCTGGTCAATCTTTCCACGAACAAATTTCTCAGAGATGAGAATGAGGAGAGGGTATCATACCAGGCACAAGGAGCCTGTTTCAACCCATAAAGAGCTTTATCCAAACGATATACGTGGTTTGGATACTTAGGGTCAAGAATCCCTGGAGGTTGTTCAATATAAACTTCCTCTTGAATTTTTCCATTAAGGAAAGCGCTCTTTACATCCATTTGGTAGACTTTGAATTCTCTATGGGCAGCAAAGGCTAGAAAGAGTCGAATTGCTTCGAATCTAGCCACTGGTGTGAAGGTTTCATCATAGTCGATCCCTTCTTCTTGTCTAAAACCCTGAGCAACAAGTCGAGCCTTATTACGGGTTACCACACCTTCTTCATCTAACTTGTTGCGATAGACCCATTTGGTGCCTATCACTGTCTTGTCAGATGGACGTGAGACAAGGAACCAGACTTTGTTCCTATCAAACTCAATGAGCTGCTCTTGCATGGCAATGACCAAACTAAGGTCTGAGATAGTATCACTGATCTTCTTGGGTTCAACTAAAGAGAGAAAGTTGACAAAGAGATAGATATTACCTAGACCACAATGAGTCTCAATACCTGCACCTGGATCACCAAGAATTTGATAAATTGGATGGTCTTTAGTCCATCGCTGAGCTGGTAGAGGATTATCATCTGAGTAAGAAGTTCAGGAATAGTGGATGAGGCTTCAGATGCACTTTCTTCAGCAATTGGAACAATTGCTAAAAGAGCCTCAGATTCAGAGATTGAAATAGGTTCAGATGCTGAAGGCATTTCATTCCCTGATTGATCAGTGTTTGAAGTAGAAGAAGGAACACAACTAATGGGAATAGCAATGATCTCAGAAGAAGACACGTTGGTGTAATAGCTACAACTGGAATACTTAATGGTTCATTTTCAGCTTCTGGAGCTTAAGTGTTGAGAGGAACGCTGAAGGAAGCTTCAGGTTGTCCATAATGAAAGAACATCCAGTTTTCTAATTCATCTTCATCATTTAAGATGGGTTTTGAATTAGCTGATTGAGATTCATCAAATGTGACATGAATAGTTTTTT